ACTGGGCCGACTGGCAGCATCATGACTAGTGAAAAGATTGAGATTGTTAACAAATTTAGTTTGCTTGGCTCTACAAGCAACACTCTCGATATCAGCAGCCAGGAAATCAAAAGACAAATTGCAGAAAGTCTGTTGTCAGGGACCTCTCTAGAGTATTGAAGTGCAATGATGTCAGTCTGGAGACTAAGGTGCACCTGATCCAGGCCATAGGCTTTGTAATTACTTGCTATGCATCAGAAAGCTGGACACTTACTAGGGATGACAGAAAGAAAACTGATGCCTTTGAGCTGGGGTTCTGGAGAAGAGTACTGAATATACCATGGACTGCTAGACCAAACAAACTCATCCTGAACAGGGTGAAACCAAGCTACTTCACAGAGGCAAGGATTCTGAGGCTTCATCTGACATACTTTGGGCATGTTACAAGGAGGAACCAGTCCTTGGAGAAAGACATCATGCTTGGTGGGTGGAGGGACAGTGCAGGAGGGGAAGACCCTCGATGAGATAGATTAATTCAGTGACTGGAGTTATTAGGGTAGGTGTATCAAAGACAATAATTTTAGCACAGGATAGAGCAGGTTTCAGGGCTATTGTACACAGTACTGCTAAGAATAACAAGTGACTTGATGACACATAACAACAACAATAACAAGGCTTCTACTTCCTGGTGGTGTGGTTAGGTACTGGCTACAACACAGCCACCCTATCAACAATGGATATGAACCTTGCCATATATGGTTATATATGTTATATATGGTTATATATAGTTAGTTGTAAAATAGGCAAAAGTTCTCTTTCTACAGCTAAGAAGCCTTTTAGTATAGATTTAAACAAGAATATTAAAGACTAGTAAATATTTACCTTAATTTTATTTCATAAACCAAATACATACCATATGAGTACACACATCCACTCCCTCCTTTAACACAGAAACAGCCTGGTCTGAGAATAATAGTAACCTACCCTCTGACCACAAAACAATGACATGTATCAAGTTCTCTTCCATTATCCCACAATTGGTTCACTCTATCATTACGACTGAGATATAAAGAATTATGGAAGTAGTTTCCACCTCTTCCTATTAAGAGAATTAGGATGATTTGGTAATGATGCAGTCTAGTTCATGAATACATGTGCATTAAGTCAACAGTGTGACTCCCTGTCTGTGGCCCACATGAAGAGAATGACTTTGAAAAGGCAAGCACGGCGAGATAGGGACAACCCCAAATCTGGTCAACAGGTAAAGTCTAATAATAAACAGCATATAAACAGCTGAAATTCAGAAAGCAAAACCATAAACCAGCTGTCTCCTGTTTGGACAAGATAGCAGAGCATAAATGGCAGAAGAATCGATGCCTCTAGGACGAGGGAGGAGGGCCATGACATGACATCTGAGTGCCCTCTGTGGCTGTGGATAGTCACATGGTGTCATCCAGCAAACGTTCTAAACTGGCCATGTTTTCTTACATGTTCATCCTAGTTTAGGTTTCCAAAAGAGCACGTCTCGAGAGAAAGAAATGGGCTGTCAGTATGATCTCTTTGGCCTATTTGACAAGTTATTACTTGTCACAAACAGCTTGATGAACTTGACTGAAACAGGCAGGCCCTTAAGACTGAATGCTGAGCTGACAAAACCCAGCAAGGACAACACCCTGGCTGAGAAGGAATATGTGGCACAAGGCAGACTCCTCAGGTGCAACAAAGAACCATCCAGAAGCGACACCCTGGGCACCAGCAGTCTGGAAATGAAGAGATGTGTTGCCCTGACAAAATCTGCCACAGACCTCTCCAAAGCGCTAAAGAGCAGTGATGTCAGTTTACAGGTCAAGGTGTGCCTGATTTAGGCCAGGGTCTTTTTAATCACCTGCTTTGCATCTGATAATTGGACAATGAATAAGGATGAGAGAAGAAAATCAAGGTCTTTGAGCTGTGGTGTTGGATAAAGGTATCATATATCCCATGGACTGCCAAAAGAACAAACAAATAGGTCTTGGAGAAAATACAGTCAGGTTGCTTGGTGGAGGTAAGGATGGTCAAGCTTCGTCTCACATACTTTGGGCACACTGTTAAGAGAGACTATTTTTTGGAGAGGGACATCATGCTCGGAAAGGTGGAAGGTCAGTGAAAGAGAGGAAGAGTGTCAACAGGGTGGACTGACACCATGACTGCAGCAATGGGTTCAAGTATGTCAGAGATGGTGAGGTCGGCAGAAGATAGGACAGGGCTCAGATCTGTTTTTCATAGGGGAGTCCTTCAGGGTACCACACAATCTCACTGCTGTCATGTCAGAACCAGCTCACAATGAACTTCTAACATTTCTATGACTGTACATCAAAACGGAAAGAGACTGACCAGCTCTTTCCAAGGAGCCAACGGTGGGTTCAAACCACAGCCTCTTGTCATCAAAGTTTCCTCCAGAGTACACAAGAACCCCCTTCTGTTTACTCTCTCAGACTCTAGGCTTCTCTTGCAGAGGCATGCGCGTACTGGCTCCCAACAAGATGAGCAGGTCACAGGAGCACCTGGGCACCGTCTTCTCTTTACTTTCTCACTAATAGAGGTGGCTGTGACAGACAGCCCTGAGCACTCAGAGGATGACCCTCATCTAACTGCATAGTACCCACTCATCTGAGCTCAAGCTGGGCATGGTGAGCATCACTGCCCAAGCATCTTCTCTGAGCCGGCCAGGCCACTCGCCATGACCACCGGATCTCACAGCACTCTCTGGTTGAGGGGATTTTTACCTTTAGTGCATTTCCTGGGAAAAAGATGAACTCATCTGAGAAAACATCGCGGAGGAAGTAAAAGTGACTGTAGACATCCTCTGGAAAGAAATTATAGGAAATTACACTACTGCTTTTTAAGGTTTCAGAGACTACCAAAAGTCCACAATATCCCCAGTATTCAAAGGTTTATTTTTACTCATATTGTTGTTATGTGTTACTGAGTAGGAACGGACTCAAAGCTGACCCTTCTAGCGGGTTTTCAGAGGCTGTAAACTGCATGGGAGACTATCCATCTTTTCCCCACAGAGCAGCTGGTGGATTCAAAGCATGTGCATTTGGGTTGGCAGTGCAGTTCCTTACCACTAGGCCACCAGAGCTCTCTGTTCATAGGGACAAGAATTAAGCCCCTAAAGGAAAGGAAACCCAATCTAACGCTACTTTCAGGGTAAACTATCACTTAGAATGGTTTCAAAGGCTGAGTCTAAACTAGGCTCATTCCTCAAGGCCTCAGGGCAGTCAGTGCTAATGAGTGACGTACCACCTTCCTTAGGACCCGGTACTTCACTGCCCTCTGTCCCAACTGCTCCCTGCAGAGAGAGAAAGGAAGCCGCTTCTTGATTTTCCTTTACATTTCTATTTCTGATATTTGTACTGTGCTCTGCATTAGAATATGCCAGAATGTAATGACAGAAAACAATGTCCACACACATACACACACACAAACACGCACACAGAGGCTAGCTGTGCCTGTTCATCCAGAGGACATGCCCTAGACCTCTCCGCCTCTGAGCCATGCCCTCAACAGATTCCCCACAGGAGCATGTGGCCACGAGACACAAAGCCCTGTCTCCGTCTCCGTCCAGTTCACATGAAGCTCACTGCACTCGTGGGCCTCTCAGGTATTCGTGAACTCCAGTCTAACAAATCATACTTAGCTACAGCAAAATGTAAGCTTTTCCTTTTCTATGTCCTGAATGAACTTCCCCGGGGTCCTCAGAGGCACCACCCAGGGCTGAACATCTACACTGAAACAGTGCCTCTTGGCTGAGCTGGGGAAGCCCCAGAGCTTTCGGAAAACAAAAAGCAGATAGAAGTCTGGCTCGTACCTCAGACCAAGTATGCAGAGGTCTCAGGGGTGGGCTCCCTCCCTCGCTGATTCTCAACTGCGGCCTGGGCAGAGCCCTATCGGCTCTTAAAGAGCAAGAGCTGGGCTTTGCTCAGGTTCACCCTGTTGTCTCATCTCAGTTGTGGCTGTGCACACAGCACACGCACCTACACCTGGCACTCATTCCCTGCCTGCTATAGAAAAGCACCTGTGGGCCGACTCTGGATTCTTTTCTAAGAAATCACGTAGCTTGAGGGGGCTATTCCCTCTTATTTATGAAAGGAGAAACTTAGATTATAGGACTTCTTAGGTCTCTCCCAATCTCAAAGTTTTCAAAAGCTGGTATGGATTATTCATGCTATGTACGCAGCCAAGCATCAAAAATGCTTTCTATCTGGTGCCTTACAATAAGCCGACTGTTCAGAACACACTCAGGAGTCAAAATCATGACCCTCAACCTTTACCTTTCCTGCACCCGCGTGCCATCTGCAGGGCTACAGCTACTAAGGATGGACGTACAAAAACGTTGAGCAGCTGGTTCCTATAAGCTGAACACATGAGGAGCATGATGTGCCGGAGCATCAGGCCTTCAACCACCTCTGACTCTGTGGAGACCATCTTCAGGACCACCTCGTCGTCTGCAAGAGACGCGATGTTGGAGTGCAGAAGGATGCTGGACTGGACAACTTCGTCAGCAGGCTTGTTATCTACACAAGAGACAACATATTCAGGAGCTGGAGACGTGAGATAACCACTGTGGGGAGCTCCAGGCCTTGAGTGCACAGACCCTTGTGTCTCCAAAGAGAAGTCTCTTCTGGTGTCAGGGCTGGTATGGACCCATTACAATACTGACTCTGTGTGTGCAGGACTTTTAAAGCCCTGCTTCGTAAATAAGGCCTTTTTCTAGGAGCATACCTTTACCTTTCCCCAAATCTATCAGCCATTCTCAAACGTACACCAACTCTAACCTGAGAAAGAGGGGATAAATAATGTATACTACCCTCAGTGACTAGAGTAATCGGGATGGGTGTATCAGAGGCAATGCGATTGGCACAGGATAGAGCAGGGTTTAGGGCTGTTGTACACAGGGTCGCTATGAGTCGCAAACGACTCGACGGCACATAACAACAACACTGAAACAGATGAGGGAGAGAATTGTCTAAAAGGGATATATGATTAGGTATATGTCATGACAGGAGTTCAGAATGAAGGCTTCACAATGGAGTGGACTTAGGGGGGAGGGACTATATAAAAATGGAATAAATTTTCTTTTACTTTTCAAAGAGAAGAGCAAATTGGGGAGGGCGGGGTGGGCAGGGAGAAAAGTGCAACAATGAACGAATGGAAATCCAAAGTCTCTGTAAACTTTCACTAAATTAAAAAAAAAATTAAGAGTAGTTTTTTTTAATAGAGAAATCAGATGACTAGAAAAATAGCATGTACGTGAATCAGACAGTAGTTAGTGAGAATGTCCATGATGAGTGTAAGAGTACTGAATTTTAAGGGAGTTCTGTTGGCCTAGAAATAAGGAGTTGAGCTGTCAACCCAAACACAGGTGGTTGTGACCGACTAGCTGCTCCAGAGGAGAAAGATGGGCAATCTCCTCCTGTGTGTTTACAGCTCTGGCAACTTGCTGTTGGGCCAGCTGTGAGTTGGTTCTGATCAGTACATGACAACCACCTTCATCACCACCCTATTTTACACAGTAAGGAATGCATCCATAGTTGTTTTATCCAACCAAGCCCTCCTCCCATAGTATTTTTGTAAGATACTATCCTAATTTGTTTCACAGTAACATATGGTAGGTGGGGGAGAATAGCATAACATGCTTTAAGAAGCATCTTGGCAGAGGGTATGGGTGACAAAAAAAAAAGGAAAAAAGTATAGCTAGAGTTTTTTCTTCTTAGCCTCTAAGCACATAACCATCATGACATTGGAGACACCTTAAAGTGGACTTGAAATAAATCCTCTGCAGGTGGTTCCTAGGGGAATTCTGAGAGGCATCGAGCAGCACAGGCCTCAGTAAGCAGAGCTGTCCTCCTATCATGACGACTAAGGCACAGAGCAGACAGGTCTCAGTAAGCAGATGACCTCCCATCACGGCAACTAAGGCACTGAACTAACACAGGTCTCAGTCAACAGGCAACTTCCCCTCATGACAACTAAGGCACCTAGCAGACAGGTCTCAGTAAGCAGGGCTGACCTCCCATAACAACAAAGGCAGCAAGGCCCTCAGTAAAGGTCACGTCAGCCCTACCGATCTTGCTTCACATCTGACAGCTGGCCAATAAGAGGAAAACTGATGCCTCTGAGTTGAAGTGAAGAAGAGTGCTGAGTGTATCATAAACTGATAAAACAAGTGTATCTTGGAAAATGTGCAGTTAAGGTACTTCTTGGAGGCAAGGATGGTCTTACATACTTTGGGCATGAGGGGCCAGTCCTTGGAAAAAGACATCATGCTGGAAAAGGTGGAGGGTCAAAGAAAGAGAGGAAGACTCTCAAGGAGACAGACTGACAAAGTAACAACTATGGGCTCGAGTGCTTTGGAGACGGTGAATATGGCACAGGGTTCAGATTTGCTCTTCACCAGGTTGCTAGGAGTGGATAGTTGACTTGACAGCCCCTAACACCAGCACCACCGCATGGAGAACAGATGTCTGCTGTATCTCCCTTTGCCTAATGTTTGCTGACATTCAACTGCTGACTCTGTGGGTGGCTCCTCCAGCAGACCTCCTAGCTCCATCAGGAACTGGGTTAGTCTTTACAGCTCATCACTGGTCACCCTGACTCCCTGCTTTTCCCTGATGGGTCCATCTTGGAAAGTGACACCAGTTTGATCTTTCAGAGCCAATCTGAGCCAGTCCTTCTCTGGTCTCCTCTCCTGATTCCACTGTCTATAAACACCAAGCCAGGACCATGGCATGTGGGGCTATGTGATCCAGCGATCCACATCCTTGTTGTCCACAACTCTTCAGCTCAAACAAGTCTGAATGCCTAGCTTGCTCCTATGTTTGAATTCTTTCACAGTGAAGCTCCTTCCCAGGGACCACCTATTTATTTTTCCGTCAAGATGGGCTCAAATATCCCCTCTGTGACCTCTTCCCTGACTGAAGGCACTTCGTACCCAGGATTCACAGCCATGTGGATTAACCAGAGCCCTTTGCCTTTATTTCACATACAGCTCAACCCACCCACCTGTACCCTCTGTAAACTAGGGGATCCTCAGGAACAGAAATGACATCCTAGTGAACTGTGTGTCCACGGGAGTAAACAGCACTGGGTAGACTAGGCACAGGCTAGATGAGCGAATGGTAGGCACTTGAAGAAAGGAGCACATAGTGTTTAAAAGCAGTATCCTTCCTACTGTATAGTTTCTCCAGTTTGAAATCAAGAGACTGGAACATTAACCACTGCCTTCTACATTTCAAATTGCCAGTGTGTATTATTTAATCAAGGTGGTTTCTACAAAGTAGATATGAAAGATTGTATAAAGTTCCAGAAAAATGATTTCTTTGTCTTTACAACCTAGTGAGGCAAATGTGTCCACAGCTGCAAATCAGACATTAAAAGAGAGCTGGGTTTGGAGGGAAGAATATGCAGAAGACAAAGCATTCACACTTTTATTCTCAGCTCTGCAACGTCCAAGGAGATGATTCTAATTCTCAAGCTATCTAAAACCTAGCAAGGAAAATGGCATGTAATCAATCATTCTCAATAACCAACATGCTTGGGTTCAAGGCTGTACAGTGATTAAAAAACAGACAAAACCCACCAAAAACAAAAGATTAGATTTTCTTTCTCATTGAGCAATGTTTTACTCGAAGTCTGGCATAGACTTCTCTTCCCAGGCCATAACTTTTCCAAATCAAGACATGAACAAGGAAACAATGCAGTGCTGGAGCGTCCAGCAGGTGGTGCAGCCACATACCAGGCCAGGCGAGGAATCCTCCAAAGGTCTGCGCCAACCCCTTCAGCCACAGGGTCTTAGTCACCAGAGCATCAAAGCTCACAGATGGCAGGTTCTGCAGCAGGACCGTAACTATGAGGGTCCATGGGCTCAGAACCATCTTTTCAATCTGCAGAAGCTGTATCTTATAGGCAACTTCAGTGACGAAGGCATACATGCTCTCTGATTGTCTCTGAGGAATGTACCTGAAAGAGAACACAAAGCAGCCAATCACAGTTCCGCTACCAGAAATCAGCCAGTCACAGGTCTGCTACCTAGAAAACAGCCAATCACAGGTCAATAGCAAAGGGGAAAGACAGACCCTTCTCTGTGGATACACAGGATGGCCTACACCAGAGAGAACTGGTAACCCAACAGAAATGCTTCTCACACCTAGGAGGCAACTCTGCTTCCAAGGCCTAGCAGGGTCAAGGCCCCAGAGCTGTGTGGGGCTGTGAGAATTACAGACAGCTTGGGAAGGGCACGGTGGTCTTGGAGGGCTGGCAAGCGCAGAACTCTCTGTCCCCTTTGGTCCCACTTCTCTAAATGAAGAGAGTGCAAATAATGAGTACCTGTTCCTTCATCCTGGGAAAACATACACCACCACCACCCCCAAGAAACCAAATACATTTATGAACTGATAAAACTATCAATGTCTTGAGAATAAGGTCTCAGTTCCACTCATGATTTTTATCCAATCCTTTCCTGGATCAGAAATTACACTAAGCACACACTTTGACTGCTCAACCAACAATACTCCACAGTTTCAGTGCATACACTGGTCTAAAAGGAATCTTAACACTTTAACTTAGTAAGGGCTGGTTCCCTGGGAAGAATGATCATTATTTTTTACTTGCCATATCTGACACATAATCTTGCAGCTAATTACTTTTGAGCAAATTCTTCTTTAAGAAATTTTCCACTGGAGAAAATGTAATGATAGCACTATATTTTGCTGTGTGACTGCAGGTAAATCTCAATCTGAGAAGTGGTCAATTCAAGAGTCACAACACAAACCTTTAGATTTTAATGCTCATTGCTATGTAAGCTCATAAAGCATAGAGCCTTACTGGTAAATGCTATGCTAGAATGGCTTTTACAATGATACAAAACCACATAGGTTTATACCTTGGAACCAAGTTATATGGGCTCCGGTCCATCTTTCCAGCTGCCAGAGATCGAACTGAGATGGGGTCTCCAAAGTACACATGGATATTTCCAAAATTTTCAGAAAGAATCTTCCTGGCTTTTAACAACCCCTACCAGCAGAACAACAGAGAAAAGGAACACAGAAAGGAGAACATTTAGAAAACTGAGGGTGTCTAAGTGAGAAAATCATCAAGCTGCAAGTGAACTGAAACCAGGCTATCCTTTACATACTGTTGTAGATTCCTTAGGCTTAGGGACCCCGAGCAGCTCATATGCATAAAGAGTTTCTTCCAACATCTTGTCATAACTGATACTGATCGGAACAAGGTAGGTATCAAAAACTTCTCTTTTGAAAAATGGCTCCATTACAATACTCAGAAGACCTATAAACATAAGGGGAAACATTTCATCATCAGAAAACAGGGATCCCTAGAGAGACAATGACTAACAGGGTATATTACACGAACAAGTCCATAAATATAAACACTTAAGCTGGAAGAAATAGGTATAAAGAAAAGACTCTCTTGCCAAAAAGTGTCGAGTTTTATTTAGCAGGCTGATGCGGCCGCACGTAAGTTCTGACCATGAAGGCGGTGGTCTTCTCGTCTGCGAGGGACCTACCAAACTTAGGAGTCAGCGTCTTCGCAGAGCGGCTTCTGGTCCCTTCGAGGAAAAATTCAACAGGAGCATAACCCGTCTTTAAAGAGAGAACACAAACAAAATACAACACAAAGCCCGTTGCCTACTCTCTAAATGACAAGTGCATCTTCTGTTTTTTCCCCCCACATTCCACCCCTAGTCCTCTGAAAAAACAGCTCACAGTGTGGGTGAACAAAAGAGCCTCAGATGAAACCACCACTTAGGGTAGATGCACATTCCCTGAAGGAGAAATCCTACTGAAGCAGCTCCTCCAGAAGGAAATGTTTAAATAACATCTTAGGAGCAAACACCAGGGAAAACAGAGTGTAATGTGCAAGGACTTAGTAACTGTCTTAACATAGTCTTCACATACTCAGAGAAGAGAGCTACAGTGTGGTGTAGAAAAACTATGTATCTGTTTGCATTTACCCGTAACATGGTCTTCACATACTCTGAGAATACAGCCCAGTAGAGCTTATTGCCACCAAAGGTACGCCGCATGAAGAAGGCGCCTGACATTCGTAGAAGCTCACCAACCATTTTCATTCCCAGAAAGTCTGAAAAATAAAGGAAGGGTCAATGTCGATTTGCAGACTCTGAAACTTTCCAGTGTTTTAAACCCAAACACTCTAAAGCAATGCATCAAATATGGGAGACACACCCAAGAAGTCAACTGTTACAGTTTCCAAAATTAAGAAGGTGACCTCCAATAGCACTATGGAAGAGAAGGGACTGTGTGAGGTGGGTGATCACTGAGAACCACAACAAACAGCAAAGCACTGACACTGGAATGGCTGGGGACAAGGAGCAGCAGTGTGATAACCTTGACTGTCCCACTACACAATGCCACATGGACAGCTGCTGAGCTTGCTGATGGGCCAGTACATGCCTATCACGCCCTGTACAGCCAGACTAAGCCAATCCTCGCCTTCCAGCCACTAGATAAAAATACCAGCCTTGTTTTAGTGCAACAGATTAAACAAAAGTCTGGAATGAGAAGAAAGGTTCTACAATCAGTTATTAAATAAGCATTCCCCCCACTGTCCCTAACTTTAAAGAACTTCACATGTCTAGGCAGTTGAAAATGCTTTTAAAGTATTTAAGTTCATGGGCACTTTTCACCTGTTTATGGCATTCATCAACAAAGGTTTCCACTCCAGCTTTCCTGGCTGCCTTCAAAGCACTTGTATAGCTTAGCAAATCTATTTCTAGGAGTCAACCTGGCAGGAAGGACATGACCAACATGAGAAGAAACTGCTGCATGACCAAGGCTGTGTGTGGATGTGTGGACAAGAAAACTCCTCATAGGATGGGTTCCTTGCTGTGGGGGTGTAGGGTCAGTTTCACGGACAGCCTAGTGGACTAGCCTGATAATGTGCTTGGTTGGTTGTGTTCTACTCCTAGGTTTTTACACAGTGCCAGGGTCTTCCAAGCAGCCATCCCAGGCATAGATGGTCCCCAGCTGCCTGGATAAACAGAAGAATCAGGACAGGAGGAATCAATAGAGTATGAGGCTAACACTCCACTAACAACTAGATCTCTCAGCCATGAGAATGGACATACTCAGCTACCACAACTGGACTTTCTGATCAAAAACACAGAGGACATGCTCTGCTCCAGGCTCTTCTCTGTTGGTGCTGACATGTCTCTATTCTCTGTTCACTTTTTTGATCCCTTTCATATCTCAAGAAGTGAGGGAAGCCGAATATCAAATTTAATAATAGTAGACCAAATGCTGTATCAGGTAAATGAGGGAGGCTTAATACAAGCTGAAGGTCACCTTGTGACACTAGGGCGTTCCCTAGGAGTCAACATTGTTCTTAGTTTTTATCAAATGAATCCCTCCCTCTTGAGATTAACATAAAGAGGAACTTGGCCTTATCTGTAAAAGATTTCACCATTATCCTTTGTTTTGTACTGCCTTGTTTTTCTATATAAAGACTCAGAGAAGCGTGGCTCAGGGCCTTCAGTCATGGGAACTGTTGGCCCCCTGTTTTTCACACTCTCTGTTCTATATCATTCCTGGCTGTTTGTCTCTTTATTATAAATTTATTCTATTCTTTTGGACCCTTGGTCTGCAACATTCTGGCGCCCGAACTTGGGACAAGGTGGTGGTTTTTCTTTGGATAAGGTGGTGGTTTCTGTTTCTTTC